TATCAGAAAACACATTGCTTCCATGTAAGAGTAGCATTTTGTCTTTACAGTTTACTAGTTTACTAATGGTTTCATATGCAAAAATTATAGCCTTTGCTCTATTTTTATTTCCAATGATTGGTTTCAAGAGATTCTAAAGAGAAAATAAAAATAGCCGACTATTTAAGCAGAGCTACCTAAAAGTGCCCTGCAAAGCTGAAGGCTGGAATGGTCTCAGAACAAAGCAAGACTTAAAGGCTACAACGAAAACGCATGAAGAGCAACTAAAGCTGCTAAATGACCCGAGGCAGTTACAGAAGGGTCCCCGAAGTCCAGAGTAACAGCTATGAATTTTAGGAAGCAGCCATCCTGAGTTCTACTCCCAGTGATGCCATCGCACTCTAAGGTTTGGTTTGTACTCTAAACCAGTTAAAACCTTTAGACCTCTTCTATACAAACGAATTGAAATCAGTACGTCAAAGAGATGCTTGTACTTTCCCATTTATTGCAACATTATTCACAACAGCCAAGATATGGAATAACCGAAGCACCCATCAATGGACAATGGATTAAATAAATGCGGTGTATATATGTACGATGGAATACTATTCATCCTTAAGGAAAGAACAAAATTCTGTCATCTGCAACAACAAGGATGAATCTAGATGTTTACCACAGTGAAATAAGTCAGGTAGAGAGGCAAATACCACATGATCTCACTTATCTGTGGAATCTAACTCATCGACGTAGACTTTATAGAGCTCACAGAAGTAGAGTGTAGAATGGTGGTTACCAAAGGATTAGGGGCAAGGGGTGCAGGGGAGATGGGCAAAGGGAAGATGTTGCTTATAGTGTACAAAGTTTCAGTCAGACAGGAGGAGTAAGTTCTGACGATCTATTGCACAGCTTGATGACTATGTTAATAATAATGTATTGTATATTTCAAAACAGCTAAAAGAATGGATTTTAAATGTGCTCACCACAAAGTAATGATAAAGATGATGCATATGTGATGGATACGTTAATTAGCCTGACTTGATTATTCCACAGTGTATACATGTAATGAAACATCTCATTGTACCCCATACATACAATTATGAGTCAATTAAAAATAACATAAAACTTTAAAATAAAAAATGTTTATAATCCAGTTTTTAAAATCTTTAAGACAAAGATTTACCTGAATTACATTAGAAATTATATAGCTTTCAGAATCTGGTAGATGAAAATATGATTCAAGAACAAGTATAACGGCACGAGGGAAAAACGAGTAGGGCAGAGTGAGTAGCTGAGTCTTACTGAACTGAGTAAATACGCAAAACTGCGACTCAAGGCTGTCAACTGTCAAACGTGAGAGCAAACAAATACTTCCAAACAGAACCATTAAGACTCAGTTTACTTACATATTAAATATCCTATCCTTTAAACCCAATATAATAAAATATTTGAACACACTGGAAAAAAATGCCAAGGCTTACAAAATCTTCTAAAACTGATATACATTGAAAACACACGTGTCAAATACAGAAGCATGTGATAGGTTTTATGAAGTTTTTTCACATGCAAAATTTATTCAGGCACATCCCTTATTTATCACTTGCGTCAAAGGTTTCTTCACCTCTTTCTGTCTTCCTGAAGTAAAGCTTCCCCTAGACCCTGATGTTAGTATCTTCAATATTCGTTAGGGACATCCAATTCTTCTCAATATACTTTCATAGAAATGGCAAAATTATGAGTGACAGCCTCAAAGGGAAACATAGTTACATCTGCCCAAGGCAAAACCTTATGCTAATAGAACTAAGAGTTGTCATTATAGTAGCAATTAGGGCAAAAAAAAAAAAAAAATGTGACTTTGAAAACCAACAATGTGTTCAAGTAAAGCAATTAATTAAAGCAAAGTGATTTGTGCAGCATTAATAATATGCTTAGGTTTCAAAGTAAAGTTGTAATCGTTACTGGAAATAAGTAAGAAAGAAAGTCTTTTCATCGGGTAAAGCAAACAATCTGACTTGTCAGGGAGAAAAAAAAATACAAATCAAAATTCTACCTTCCAAACAGTAAAGGATGATTTTATTCCCATGTCCATCTATGGAGCCAGAGGATCTTACTAACATCTGGCACTAACTCCCATTCCTACTCCCTAATTTTTCAGATTAGGAAAGCAAAGTCCCAATCAGTGACGAGTGATCCAAACGGGACTGGATATAAACTGGAATTACTTTTATTTATTCCACACTGAGGACTCAAGTACAAGTACTCCATAGTACAGCACAGTGTTCTTCCCAGCAGACATCACTGCCTCACTATCCCGAATGAGAAAACGTGCTACGTAAGAACACATTCCATGTTTCCTGGGTAGAAATCCACTCCGTAAGAGCTTGGTGCAGAAATGATTTGAGTACCCATACTATGCCTTATATATGCTATTGCAGCGAGCATGCTGATGCCACAGGACTCACAAATGCAAAGTTTTCTCTACTTCAATACTCACAAACACTTGTGTGTTTACCAATGAAAATACCACAACGTCAATCGTGTGAGGATCAGGTAACATTTATATGAAAGTTGAAAAGTGAGCACTATTCTAGTTGTTTCTTTGTGCTTTTTTTCCAGATAAGATTTTCAAAATCCTATTTGGAAGGTATGTCTTGTGCAGAACACACCTATTTTACATAAAACATAGAGTTGTCGTTTGTTTTTAAAAAGACTTTGACTCTTGTAGTCACAGAAATACTGACTTCAAAACCAGTTGTATGTAAAGTTCAGGTGATTTCTCTCACAACTTTGTCAGCCCCAAATTCTCTGTTCAACTTTGCTATGAGACAGCCATGGAGAGGTCTAAAAATCACATGCTATGTTCTAACAATGATGCAAAGAACTATTTACAAGCTCAAAACTGAGTGAAAATGGCAAAATGCACAAAGATATACCTTTCATGTAAGAAAAGGAGAAAAAAATATGTATTATACTTATTTCTATTTCCATAAAGAAAGTGAAAGGACATGTTTAAATAAAAGTAGTTAGCTATAAGGGTGTAGGTAAGAATAGGACAGACAGATATGGGCAGAAGCATGAATTCTCAATGTGCAATTTTTTTTTCTTGATTTTCGAGCCATGTAAATACATTATTCATCCCCAAAAAATTTATGTTAAAAAAAATGGATGTGCGAGCAGCTTTTGTGAAGTAACGGCAAATCCACTGTTAACTAAGACTTAATCATAATCTCCCTGAAGATGGAGGGACCCACGTATGTATGTTAGTTTTTCCTTGTTTTGTTTTGTTTTTTGTAAAAAGACAGAGTCTTACTATGTTGCCTGTTATCACTGAGTGGCTTTTACAGGTACAATTATAGCACACTACAGCCTCAAGTTCTGGGCTCAAGTTATCCTCTCGCCTCAGCCTCCTACGTAGTCGAAATCACAGGTGCAAACCACTGCACCCACTCAGCAGCACCCAGATATTTTAAATATTCTACGTTCACAGCCTATGGCAGAGCCTAGCAAACAAACACTGCATAAAACATGTACAATTTGCCAATTTGAAATTAACTTTCTAAAGGTTTCAAATATTCTACAACCTGGATAAGGTAATAATCTCCACGTGGGAGAAAAGAGAAGGCAAGGAAGGGGAAGGGGGCAAACTTTATTTTACCTAAATCCTTCGTGTTTCTCTCACTTCTGGCTACAACTTAGAAATATAATACATTCTTGTTCAGTGGTCCCCAGGATAAATACTCTAAGTAGACTACCCGCTGAAACATGACAAGCTCCTGATACTCTTAATATGAAAGATTTTTAAAAATTGCTAACATCAAATTTCAATTTAAGTACTGCAGTAAGAACAGCAATGCAAGAAATGTTTAGTTCTCTCATTAACATAAATATCCAATAACTGTAACCAGTATATTTCATGTTCCGTTGTTCTCCATGTTTTTGGAATGTTTTTCTCAACACTCATTTCCATCCGTAAAGCTACCTCCAGTATCTACTTGTTCATCAAATGCTACTGTGAAGCTGCATCAAATATTAAGATAAAGAAATGAGAACTGCTGTTCTATTTTTATTAAAAAGCGTGTACTGGTCCATGGAAGGTCAAACAGGAGTGAAAAGCCGTAAGAATCCTTCTCAGGATGAACTTGACAATGTCCACCTCCAAAGGTATTTGGTTATTAATATGAAATTTAATATTACAGCAGTGTTTCTCAGGTGTTTCTGTGTTAGCCTGAAATCGTTGTGTCAAAAGCATGCTGAAGGAAGTTCCTTAAAAATGTAAATCTGCTTTATTTCATTAATTCATTCTTTTATCTGTGAAATGTTCACTTTTAGGGAATTAAGCCGTATAATGGTGTAATGATGTCATGTGTGACCACTATATCAAGGAGAACAGAAAACTGCCAAGTTCAAGGCCACACGGCACACGATTATTTTTACAGAAGTTTTACAAAGTCTCCAATTTTAATATAATAAATGTAATCTATTATCAAGTAATTGATATGGAAGGAAATGCATTAAGTTGAATCTGTAAAAACCATCCGTCTTTTCCAATGGTTGAATGGCGAAACAAACCTGAGTACATCCATACCATGCAACATCACTCAGCAATAAAACGAACAGAGCGCTGATGCACACAACTTGGAGGTATCTCCACAGAATAACGCCGAGTGAGAAATGCCAGTTCCAGAAGGCTACATCCTGCATAGTTTTACATGTAACATTCTGGTAATGACAAAATTATTGAAATGAAGAGCTCGGGATATCTCTATCAACAATTATCTCAAAATAGAAACTGTAACAACAACAACAAACCCACTGGTATTATTTGGATTCTCAGAAACCAGTCAATATACAGATTCCCCTAGCAGAGGAACAAATGAACAGAGAAAAGAGTAGCCACAGAAAAAGAAGTGTCGCAGAAAACAACGAAAAAAATAATACACTTATTAATGAATAGCTAATGAATGTTTAGATATACTTACAGATACTAAATTTTACTCCGTAGGAATTCAAGATGGAAAGCTTACCCGATGCTTTGCCTTAATTTTCTTCCTATATTCTTCTTTGTCAAATTTGTCCTCTTCCTGAAGTCTTTCCTTTGCTTTATCTAAGTTGATGCCACCTGTGTCATCATCTTCCTCAGCATCCTTGATGGCCGATTTCTGCATTTGTGGCCACTGCTGAACCAGCTACAGGCAGGAAAAAGGTCAGGGTCAGCAGGAAACAGGGAACACCCCAGAAAAGCACTTCATTTTGTCTGATGATTCCGAAAAGGTGCAGATACCCACTTTCTGCCTTACAATCTGTAATCTTAAACCTTCTAACCAACTTCAAGCCACAGAAGAGACTGCCCTAGTCAGAGAAAAGTAATGCGGCCATACCCAACCGGAACAGGATTAAAAGAAAATTTCACAGAATAATTTGGAGGAGAAGGTAGTCACAGAATAGAGATGCTTCAGCACCTTCCCAAACAGCATTCTTAGTATCCTGTTCTCCACACAACTCAGCTCAAAATTATCTGCACACAGCAGGAGTCGGACTGAGTAGGCTGTACCTCCTTTGGGCTTCCATAGCACCTTATGTGTTACTCTAACACACAGTTCATTGCACTGCATTGTTTTACGTTCCTGATTCTCTTACACTAGAATTAATCTCCTTGAGGGCAGTTCCAGGTCTCGTTCATTTATCCTTGGAGTCCAACATAGCATCTGGCACATATTAAACAGGTGCTCAAAATGGATCAATGAATCCCGTATCAACTAACATCACACACGACGACGGAAATAACTAACTGAAAAGGAAAGAATCCATTTGGGTTTCACAGGCTTGCTCAAATCCACATGATTTCACACTTACAGTTTAGGATAAGGAACAAGGTGACCTAGAAGATGGGGCACTGATGTGGGAATGATGGGACCTGGCTAAATGTCCCGGCTTTTTCACCAGCTTACTACATAACGCTAAATAAATTAATCTCTGGATATCTGTGTCCCTTCCAGAAAAAGAGAGGTTTATTTGACTCAGGGATTTGCTAAGTCTAACACTACAAAACCTTACAGACAATTCAGACAAAAATAACTCTTATCTAATAATTAGTTGCCAGAAAGATTTAAAAACTACTATTGTTTTAAAAGACTGCTAATTAACCTGCCAGCAAATGGAAACTGCAAGCACACACATCCCAGGTATTAATGCTTCCCCTCTCACTCTGTGGCCACCATAACCATTCTTCAAGATGAGATTCCTATGGAGTCTCAACCTTCAGCAACCAATGGGGGGTGATAAATATCACTGAGCAGCCATGCTAGCAGTCACTGACCCTGAAGAGGCAATGTGAGGGATTAGTTGTAACAGTACGAATATCATGTTATTTGGACTCCTCATCCCTACTGTAATCACAGAAGGCAAAAAGTTTATCCTTCTATGGGCTAGGAAAAAAAAACAGTGGCATTTCTTTCAGAGCTTTAAGTCAGAAGTTTCAGGATGGCTCACAGCCACAAACATCTCCTATCAGCACTGAGTACACACTGAAACATTTTAGAGTTAAGGATTTACGTTCCTTTTGGAGCTAATTGGTATAATTTGCACAGTTAAACTTAGTAGCATACTAAGGAACCTCATTCCGCCAACAGCACTCATCTCATTTTACAGTGAACATCAGATGTCATATGACTATTCTAGTTTAGCCTATTTCTCAGGTGCTGACCTCTTTTTCATAATATCATAAAGATTCATCATCTGTCATTTATATAAGCTTCCTCCTCGACTTCCAGCACCTTTGAATGGCACACTATTTTGTTACTTTTCATCTGGTTTATACACCCCAAAATAACATCCAAATCTTTAAATTCAACATTAAAAGGAAACACTCCATTGGAGAGGCTGCTTAAGCAGACTTGATGTTAGTGATGATGAAATATATGATGCGCTATATTACAATTAACATGAAAGCTATTTTTTTTTTAAATAGAGGTTTCATTCAATCAATAAATTTTTCTAAGGGTTTATTAGGTTGGGCACCTTTCTCGGTGCGAGGGATAGAATAGTGAACAAACTCAACGAAATACCTTCCTCTCAAGGAAAAGTGAAGTGGAAGAACCTGACAACAGTCAAATGTAGACTGAAGTGATAAAGGAAGTGCTGCGAAGAAAAGCGAGGCGGGGTGAGAGAAATGAGGTCACGATCGAGGTGAGGTGCTGTGTGCTACATTAGGAGAGTCAGGAAAACCTGGGCTGGCGAGAATGAGGCCCTGAGACGATATTCAAAAGACCCTACCTACTATAACCACTCCTTAGGTAAGTCACTTGACATACTGAATCTAGTTCATCATTTTAAAATGAAGACAACTGTTATATAATAGAGTGAACTTTTTTTTTTTTTCCTTTTTTCTCTTTGACCTGACACAGGCCACATGAACATTTCTCAACCAATCCATCATTATTGCCAGAGGATACTGTATTTCAATTGGTCAGGCTTAGGTCATGAGCTACCCTCAAAGCAGTGGAAAGGAGTGGACTACAGCAAAGACTCGTGGATTGGGGAGTAGGAGAAGTAGATCCCCAAAAGAAACCCAGGGCTGTTACCAACAGTAGGTGAATGAATAATGGGGAATGAAAGAGGGAACTTTCACGAGTAGTTTTTGAGTGGTAACCCCTTCCCTATACTATGGGATGTGTTTACAATATGGCCAAGGGAAAGGTGAAATGAAAACAAGGCACCTCTGTGTCTGAGATGATTTCATCAAGCAGAGAATACCCTCCCACAGCCAGCACAGCAAGATGGATGGAAGTACAGCATTTAAAACTGAGGAAGTGCAAAGCAGAGGCTCGAATGAAGCAAAAGAAGCTGTGGCAAGTAGCTGTGTTAGCATTCTCATGTCTGCTCCACAGAATAGGATGATGAATACCATGAGGAGAAAGTCTTAGCTATAAAAACATAATCTAGAAAGTTCAAAACCAATTCTGTGTCAGCATTACCAAGCAGTATCTCAGTTTACTGCCAGTAAGGCAGCCCTGTTCACAGCAGCAGAGCTCACGGACAGCCTCCAGTAACAGTCAAAGGAATGGCCCAGCATGCGGCAGAGAAACACTGACTCTATCATTAACGATGGGAAGTAGGCAAGAAAGTCGACCTCTCGTAACACTCCGAATGTGCCTCGGAAATGAAAGCCTTCTAGAACCTTACCTCCCCTTCATCAGTAAACGTTATCTTCTTATTCACTTTAAAATTTCTCTTCATTACTTTTTTGGCTTCTGCAACTTTGGTCACTTTTTTCTTGATGCTGGATTTAGAAGGTTCTTTCTTCTGTGTGAGAACATACAAGAAACAGAGATGATTAGGGAAGCTTTATATTAACAATCCAACTCTGGCCATATACTTTCCAAAACCGGGTGAATTTATTACTCACTGGCTAATGAGAAGCATTGAAAACACTGTCCAGAAATCATGATATTTGGCTTATTAACTAAGAACCCCTCCCAAAACCTAAACGAGTTTAAGCATGAATAGGAGGAACAGTAGACCAACAATCTTTACATTTTCTGTTACTAGAACTGTCCTATTTGATAATATTAAAGGAATGAAAATTTACATTATGTAATATATTGGCATAAGATAAATAAAGCTATCTTTCAGCCAAAATTTCGTACATATCTTAAAATTTGCAGTTGCAAACTTAAGTATTTAGAGTAAGAAAATGTATACTTGGAAAGCAAAATGATTGCAATACATTGTCTGCAACTCAACATTCTGTCTCCAATTATAGTAATTTACCATAGGCACATGGTAAAATATCCAGTGACACATGCACACGTATGCTTACTGTAGCACTGTTCACGGTAGCAAAGACTTGGAACCAACCCAAATGTCCATCAGTGATAGACTGGATAAGAAAAAAAGTGACACATACACAACATGGAATATTACACAGCCATTAGGATGAGTTCGTGTCCTTTGCAGGGACATGAATGAAGCTGGAAACTATTATTCTCAGTGAAGTAACACAAGAACAGAAAACCAAACACTGCATATTCTCACTCATAAGTGGGAGTTGAACAATGAGAACACATGGACACAGGGAGGGGAACATCACACATTGGGGCTTATCACGGGGTGGGGTGAGGGGAGGGAGACATTAAGAGAAATATCTAATGTAGATGACAGGCTGAAGGGCTGCAGCAAACCACCATGGCACGTGTATACCTATGTAGCAAACCTGCACATTCTGCACAGGTATTCCAGAACTTAAAAGTATTTTTTAAAAAATGAAAATGTTCATAAAACACAATAGCCCAGTGCTAGAAACAAGAGGAAAAAATAAAAAAAAAAAGATGCTAAAAATTGTCAATGGAATAAAGGTCAGAAAAACGATCCTGTGGAGTAGATCCTTAAATGAGGTGGGTCAGACCAAAGAGCTTTAGGGAAATCCATGAAACCACTAAAATTACAGGAAAAAATTTAGAGGTATTTTCATCTCTGGCTTTTATGATTTCTATTGGTTTCTCACAGGGTCTTGTGTCCTGCCCCCGCTGAAAATGTAAAACTTTTTATTTGTTTTAGGAAAGCCACTGAAAGAAGGAACAGGAATGCCCACATGGGTGAGAGGAGGCTTGTTTATCACATTTTCCTGTTAGGCTCTGGCTTCGCTCCGACACTCTAGAATTATTCTTCACTCATTCAAAGCTGCTGTGAATGTCGATGCCATCCGAGGCATTATAGCACATAGCGAGGGGGCAGCAGTGCACGACGGGCGGACTCCCAGCCTTCATGGAGCCTACCTCTAAGTGGGGAAAAGGCTATTAAACAGCCAGAACAAAACATTTATTACAAATAAAAGAGCTTAAAAATATAGAGAGAGGGCCAGGCGCGGTGGCTCACGCCTGTAATCCCAACACTTCGGGAGGCCGAGGCGGGTGAATCATGAGGTCAAAAGATCGAGACCATCCTGGTCAACATGGTGAAACCCCGTCTCTACCATAAATACAAAAAATTAGCTGGGCATGGTGGTGCGTGCCTGTAATCCCAGCTACTCGGGAGGCTGAGGCAGGAGAATTGCCTGAACCCAGGAGATGGAGGTTGCGATGAGCTGAGATAGCACCATCGCACTCCAGCCTGGGTAACAAGAGCGAAACTCCGTCTCAAAAAAAAGATATATATATAGATATATATATATAGAGAGAGAGAGAATGAGTGAATACGGCCACCCTAGATAGACACGGGTGAGGAGAGCAGGTCAAGGAACTTCCTTTTGAGGGAGAGAGGTTTGAATTGAGTGGCAAACACTAACATACAGTATCATTGCCCGCACCTGATGTGCTAACACCTGTGCTGTCCACTGACAAGACAGTCTTAGTTCCACGTCGTTCTTTTTAATATTAACTTTAACAGGTAATACATGCACATGTGTTCTGTAAATTGTTCGTAAAAGGTTGCTTTTCATGTCCTATTCGGTAACCTCAGTTACCCTAAGGATCAAGTGCTGTTAGCAGCTTCTGTATCCTTCCAGAGACATTCCACTCACATTCAAGTACACAGGAAAAACGTAAAGTTACTAAGAGAGCTCCCTCCCACAATTAAAAGCCTTGATTATATCTATTCGTACTCATGTGCTTTTATACATCCAGGGTAAGTTTCTAAAAGTGAAAGTGCTCAAAGAGTACGTACAGTTACCCTCCCAAAGTTACACAGATTTAAATTCCCCCCAGAGAAATTGATTCACCACATCTGCAGCTAAGTATATTATTAGGCTTTATGTTGCCAGTCAACGTGATGAAACACGATACCTCGGGGAAGTTTTAGTTGTATCATTTTACATATGACAGAACATCTTTCAAAGGTATGACTTTTCTGTGCACCATTTGTATTATCAGCCAGTATTTCTAATGACTTCCTGGCATTTAATTTATCAAATAATGAAATCTTTTCCTTTGTTAACAATGCTTCAGTAGTTTCCCACATCTCACCATTTACATTTAGACCTTTGCTGTACAAGGTAAGCTTGTTGTTTTGCTATGGTTTGGTTTTTGTCAAGGTGAGATTTTTAATTTTTTATGTAATCAATTTTAGTAAATGTTTCCTGAGTGTCTGCCAAACTTTATAGCTTTCCAACTAGAAGATTTTTAAATAAAATAAATTTAACTTTAAAATGCAGATTTAATCTTTTTAGAAGTTTAAAAATTGGCTCTTGGACAAGAAATAAAGTGTTAATACTTTTCATGCTTCTATTCATTAATTAACAAAAAATATAAAATATATCTATGGTTAGATAGGAGTTATATGTTTTGAAAGATTTTGTGTGATTGGTACAAGAATTAAATTTAGAGCAATGCTAGGAAGTATAATGAAAGATTGGCTGACAAGAGGTAAAACATCAAAATACGACTTGCATTTCTATTTGCACCTCTTCTACAACGTGTATGCTAAATTCTAAAAAGCTAAAAGGAAAATATCATAAAATACAAAACTGATAGTCACTCTCAGTGTCCTGTAATAGGTGTAGAAAAGTTACTACAAATAATCTAGAAGATAAAGAACTGCCACTACCACCAGTCACAAAACCATAACGGCTCTCATCATAAGGACCATGTTAGCTAACGTTGGTGACAATGAAATTCAAAATATAATCAATAAAATATCTATTTTAATATAAGCATTGCTACTATATATCCTATGAAATAAAATGAAACTATTGTTAAAAAATGATACTTTAAATGAAAAGCAAAAATCATCCGAAAACAAAAGAATTAAAGACAGTCCAAAGAAATCAGATTTTTATGTTTCCTTAAAGTAGCTCCCATAAGGGCCAATTAATAATTTATAATGAAAATGATTATATCTATGAGTGAGGTAAACCACCAAAATAAAGAACAGTCAACACTGGAGGAGACCTGCAAGATTACCTATTGCAGCTGAAGCCACGCCTATGAAAAATAAGGGCATTTAAGATTGATAAACACTGTTTCCCAAAAGTACAAATGTATCCAACTATACACACTTCTACTGGCTAAATAGCCAAACTCTAACAGAACTTATGATTTAAAAAAGACAGCAAGCCCACCTGCCATCTAAGCATAGTGCCTCATTCATCCTAAATCAAATTCATAGTAATTCAAATATTATCTAATTTTACAGCAAAAATCAAGAACACACTATTTGATATTTGGTTTCAAAGCCATCTAGAAAATCTTTTCTTAAACTATAAACAGAATCAAAAACAAAAATCACATGATCAACTCAATAGACACAGAAAAGGCATTTGACAAAATCCATCATCCCTGCATGATTAAAACCCTCAGCCAAGTCAGCATAGAAGGGACATACCTTAATGTAATAAAAGCCATCTAAAACAAACCCACAGCCAATATTATAATAAATGGGGAAAGTTGAAAGCATTCCACTTGAGAACTGGAACAAGACAAGGATGCCCACTTTCGCCACTTCTATTCAACATAGTATTGGAAGTCCTAGTAAGAGCAATGAGACAAGAAAGAAATAAAGGCATCGAAACCAGTAAAGAGGAAATCAAACTGTCGCTGTTTGCTGATGATAAGTTATATACCTAGAAAACCCTAAAGACTCATCCAGAAAGCTCGTAGAACTGGTAAATGAATTCAGCAAAGTTAAAGGATACAAAATTAAAGTCCACAAATTAGTAGCACTGCTATACACCAAGAGCAACCAAACTGCGTATCAAAGAACTCAACCTCTTTCACAATAGCCGCAAAAAAAATATTAAATATTTAGAAATATACCTGACCAAAGATGTGGGAAAAAACCACAGGGAAAAAATACTTCGGAAGGAAATCATAGATGACATGAACAAATGGAAACACACCCTATGCTCATAAATGGGTGGAATAAGTATTTTGAAAATGACCATACTGTCAAAAGCAATCTGTAAATTCAATGCAATTTCCAGCAAAATACCACCATCATTCTTTATGGAACTAGAAAAAAAAATCCTAAAATGAATATGGAACCAAAAATGAGCCTGCATAGCCAGAGCAAGATAAGCAAAAAGAAAAGGTCTGGAAGCATCGCATTACCCAACTTCAAACCATACTGTAAGCCCATATTTACCCTAAAGAGCGTGGTACTGGTATAAAAATAGGCACATGGACCGATGGAACACAACAGAGAACCCAGAAATAAAGCCAAGTACTCACAAAGAAAAGAAACCTAAAGTGAGAAAAGCACACCTTATTCAACAAAAGGTGCTGGGTGGGATAACTGGCAAGCCACATGTAGTAGAATGAAACTGGATCCTCATCTCTCAACTTATACAAAAATCAACTCAAGACGGATCA